CACGCAAGCGCCCCGCCGCCCTCAGATCCGAACCAGAAAAGCGCGGCGAGCGAGGGGGGCAGAGCCGGGGGCTCCGCTCCGTGCCTGGCTGCCCGCCGTCACGCCGCGTCCCCCAGAGCGCTGAGGACTTACCGCCTGCCTCCCTGCGCTGCGGGGCCGACCGCCCGGCCTCGATCTCCTCCTCCTCCGCCGCCGCCGCTCCCGCGCGGCGCCCGGGCCGTTCCTCCGGCCGCAGCATCGCTCCACCGGCAGCCGCTCGCCGGCCGACTCGAAGGCAGCCCCCGCTCCGCCTCCAGCCGCCGCTCCGCCCCGCCCCCGCACGGCCACCCTGAGCGGGACGCGCGCGCCACCTGGCGGCGGCGGCGGGAACGGCAGGCGCTGCGGGGCGGGGCCACGCGGCAGCGCCGCTCCGAACGGCGGGGCTCGTCCTCGCAGCCCGCATTTAGCACGCAGCCCGACGCCGAAACAGCGCTCTGGAGGATAAAGGATCACGGTAACGCTCCCAGCGGAGACGAGAACCGCCTGTTCCCAACACGTCGGCTGTTCGCCTCCGCGCAGGCACTGGGAGCTGCTCGGTCGCTAATAGCGGCACCGAGAACCGCTCGTGGCCGCACGAGGTCGGACTCGCGCTGCGGACTCCGCACGGCTCCATCAGCCCGGCGCACCGCGGCGGAAAAGTCGCGCCTGCAGGCAGGGAGGGGAGCAGCAGCGTGGGGCTGCACGCAAGCTGGGCAAAGGAGGATAAAACATCATCCACCGCCTACCCTAATGGCAGTGCAGTTATTAGAAATACCAAGGAAACTAATTTGGAGTGCTTGCAGAGGAGAAGACTACGACAGGAACACACTGGCCTGCAAAGCTTCCCTTGGCTTGGGACAAGATGCAGTTATCACTGAATAATGGCAGAACTTCAAACCTGGTCTAGCATTCCCAAGACAACGCTCAATTTATAGCACGTGGTTTGCTCGGAGCCAGGCCTGATGCAGCACCTGGAGGAACAGCAGCAGGAGCAAACAGCCTGCAGTTTCTCTCCCAGTGATCTGAACAGCCTGAGATCCAAGCCCAGCCTGCAGCATTTTGGTAACTGCACCAGGCAGAACCTCATGATACAACGGTGACAAGAAAGCTCTTACCTGAAAAATTGTACAGCATTTGCAGAAATCGTCTGCTATCGCTCCACATTATGTAGAGAAAACACATTGCACCTCTGGGCCTGAGACTCCAAGCACATGCTTTGTTTCAGTTGCAAACCCTTCAGCTCAGGGCAGAGCTCTTGCTAGGAATTTGCACTCCAAAGATTTGCTTTAAAGAAAACAGCAAAGGGAACAAACATTTACGACTACCACGCGTAGTTCTGTTCTCTGCTCAAACATTGCTGCTGTACACTCCAGTGGTTTCTACCCTGTATGCCTGAAAGGTGCATGAGGTTAAACATCAGTGAGATTTGAAAAGTGTGCTTGGGAAGCATGAAGTCCAGATCCAGAAACATTTCTGGCCTCTGTTGTGTATCACAGATGAACTGTTTTGAAACCAAGTTACATGAGATAGGGGGAAGTGTGTGAAGGGGTATGTTCAGGATGAACACCACCTGAAATATTTTTGAAAGACAATTAACAGAATTTCAACATCTAATAGTGTGCCCAGATCATCTTTTGCAAGTCATTTTTAGGCTGGTTGTTTTTAAGTTTGCAAAAATACATCTTCTCATTTCACAGCACAGGATAAAAAGGGCAGGCTTAATAACAAGGCTTTTACAGGACTTAAGCTCCTAATATTTATAGTTTTTAAACTGTAAATTTCATTTATGTAACCTCATGTAGCACTCCAAGTCACAGAAATCTCTTTGCATATTTAAAATCTTTTGCTTCCTCTAAAAGATGAATCCTACTTTTTAAAAACAAACAAACTGGGTCTGCAGCATTCAGAATAACAGCAAATAACTTGAAAAAAAAGTTAAACAAAACTTGAAATCCTTGGAAGAAAATGCGGGGTCTCACAACAGGAGGTAGCACAGTTACAGTCATGATTCTAAGAGAGAAGCAAGGCTTGCAAGCAGCAGAGACAGTATCTCATTATTAAATTGTACCAATTAGTCTACAGTAAACAAATTTTGGCTTTTGCAAAGTTAAATATTTCTCTCTATCATGCTGGGTCACTTTGCATCCTTTGTTAGTACATCTCCTATTTGCCTTCTACTGTTTAATCTTCCTTCCATTTTGTCTTGCAGCTGTGAAAAACAAGGCACTTATTTGAAGAATTTGTTCAGGCATGCTAGATACACATCAGATTTGTCTGAACCACACCAATAAGGTTTTTATACAAGCATGAACCTCTGAATGGGATGATTTTCCTACCCTCTGCAGCGCCTTTCACACCATCTGTATCCATCTGTCCCTCAGACTCTGTTCTTTGTTTTTGAGCATTGCCAACATGTGCCAAAAAAAGAAAACCTACCACCAAAAACGTTTTGAATAACAAGGTATTGCCATGTGCTTGAAGAAGGCATTCAGAAGCATCATTGAACCAGAGAAAAAAACATTCTCCTCTGGAGAGCAAACATGGGCACTGCATCACAGAGCCCAATACAAACCTTCCTCTCTGATGAAATGCAAGGTATCTCCTTGGGTAATAAAGTACTAGTTCAAGTAGAAAGGAATGTTAATTCAAAGGACAGGAAATTATTAGCAACACTCCCAAATGGCTTTAACATGAAGTGCTGGTAAAATAGCACAGCACTTCCTCAAATTGCTTTGTGCCTCATGTTTCTAAACCACTTAAAAAAAATAAACACGCTACATAAAGTCATCAGAGAGGAATCTGTCTCCTGTTTGAGGGGGAAAGTACACAACTGATCTATCATCGCTGCATAAGCAGTCTGAATTCTTTAATCTTGGCTACAATCTCACTTCTCCAAGAACCAGCCGTACCATTTCTTGCTTCCACTGCATCCAAAAGCAACACTGCTAACATGCAGTGCATATTTTTCTTCAAGCTAGTACTGGAAGAGTCTATGAAGCTACTTCGAGGCTGACAATCTCTCTTCTTCAGGACCAAATACAGCTCTCACGATCAGCAGAACTAACCCAGGCAAACCTAATCTAGAGGAGTGCCACAGCTAATTTCAAGATAAAAAGAAAACTGTGGATGGGGTGTTTAGCACTGATCTCAGTCTTTTTCTTTTTGTTACACCAAGTGTCTCAGTGTGTTCCTTTTGAAAATTCAAACAAGTCTGTATCTGCAAACATCAATTCTGAGCTGCACTGGAAATGATCCTGAGAATTTAGTATAATGAGTTGAGATAAAAACTTCACCTGCGTAAGGTAAGAAACTTAATGCCATTCACAGGTAAAATATTTACACCCATAAGGTCACAAAATATAGCAAATATTTAACTGACAGTGTCTGACTCCTTTTCTTCACTTTTTGCTTCCATACAAGCTGGGTACAACACTGCTGCAGAGACTAAGTCCCACTTCGAGGCTCTTTTGTGAAAGATGCTGACATTTTTTCCTCGGTCGAATTGCACAGGTAAGTGTGGGGAGGTCCTTCTCCAGTTTCATTCTCTTTTCATACAGAAAGCAAAGTGTATCTAAAAGCCTGATCACACACAGAGCAAGGACAGCTGTGAGCAGCTAACAGCTGTCAGAAAAGCAATCTTTGGGTCTTCCTGCAGGCCTTAAATTCTTGCCAGTAGTATTTTTCCTCAAATATTTTTTTCCACACATTATTACTGGCATTTAACGGTTGCATTTCTTCCTCAAGGAGGCAGCAGCAGCAGCAGCAAGTTAGTCTTCCTTTTACAATTAGTCTCAGTTTAGGAAAGCAACATGGAGAGACCAGTAATCTGTAGAAATGGTGTTGCATTTTAGTCTTGTTCTTTAAGCGTCTGATTAATTTCTGAACTGTGCCCTCACTTCAGATTCACTCTGGGTCTGTATTAACAGCTTAAAAGCCTTAACCTTCTCAGATTTTGCTCTTTTTTTTAAAAAAAAAAAAAAGCATTCAATTCATTCAGAATATCCGATCCTTAAATTTCAACAGCAATACTAGGAATTAACTTGTTCCCACAACAATTCACATTTTACAGAAAAGCCAGTAACTCAGAAACGTTTCAGAGCTTCATGCATTTGGATAGCAGATTTTAAGTTAGAAAAACACTACATCTAAGTTTCCATACAGTATGAATTTTTTTTAAATCTGACACCAATTCAAGAATACCCTGCCAACTTCAGCATTCCTTTTAGGAAAGCTCTGTCAGGTTCCGTGCAAACAAATCTCTTCCAGACAAAAGGCATTCTGAATCAAGTGCACAGATGAAGTAAACAGATTCCTTAATCTGCATATCGATATTAAAAGTTTGCAGTCTCTTACCTCCCATAGATAAGCATGAAGAATTCTGAACCAAACAAATGAACTTACAGTCATGCACATATAAAGGAAGGTACAGCACAGAAGTTCTATGGCTTGCCCTGAGAACAGCAGCTGCAAAGACCTAAAGAAACTCAAATCTTCTGTCACCAGGTAAATTTTTTTCAAGGGCTGCCAATATATTTGATAAGAAAACATTTGTAAGGGGACTGGGTAAAGTTAGAAACATTAATACAGTTGTAAGAAATACTTACAGTAAAGGAAAACCTCCAAATCGCCAGCAGCATTTGGCAGTGGTGACAGATGAGAGAGAACCATCTCCCACACTCACGTCCTATACTTTACCATAAGTGGTCTTCAGGCAAGTGAAACAAATGCAAAATTCATTATTAGCAGCTGCCATAGGAATCACAGCACGAGCACATCACAGGTCAGTCAACAGCACCCAAGGACAAGTTTCAGTGCATGCTTTCCACATGTAAAGATTTGCTTCAGAGAAAGGAGCAGAGGAAGCAAACGTTAAGCTAATGTGCAAATAGCCCACCAAGTGCCCAAGAGAAAACAGAAGCCCATCTATAGTCACACTTCAGAATTAGCAAACATTGCATTCTTCCTCACATTTACATGTCTAAAAGTAATTACGAAAAAAAGCCATTTTATTTCTATATCCATTTATTATTCCAGTCTGTAAAAATATAAGACTAATATACAGCTACAGCTAGCCAGATTCATAAAATCGATCTTCATTCAGTGAGCTAACAATGTACATTATACATTGAAGTTGTAAGAAAAATACTGATATTTGACATTTTAAACAAGTTCATTGATGTAAAAATCACATTCCAAGTAGAATTTAATTAGAAAATACATAATATTCACAAAAATACACATGTTAAAGACAGGTTGTGAGAACATCGCCCTAAATTTAATTCAGCTGTGGAAAAACATATGATTCACAGTTAGGCTTGACTTACCCAGTACCAGAGCAGAAATAAATGCATCTTAATTCTATGAAGAATTTGCTTGTTTCCCAGTAAGGTGCACTTATCTCCCATCTGCAGTGAAGGACTTCCCCCATACAGGTATACAATATATAACACTACTCAAAGAAATTTCAGTTTTCTGCTCCATTTTTAAGTAATTTGGATATTTATAAATTAATTTATAAAATCTGGGTTGAAAATACAGTTTACATATACAGGATACTTAATACACAAAGATTACATTAATAGCAGCTTAATTTTGTCAATCATGCGTAGCAACCTCACTATCACTTCTGGATTTCTTTTAGCTAAAGATAAAAATCTGTATGAAACAGTCAAGCCTTTAAGCACTTTCGTCCAAGGAGAAAATTATAAAGATGTTAAAAATTTAGGAGGTAGTGAATGAAAGGCTAACAATATCAGCATGTTTTAAAACCCTATACTGAGCCTTAGTACCATTATATATATATAAAGTTTAGCCATTCATAATCAACCACTGATCATCCTGAAATAATAATTTAAAAAAAGTTGATAATTAAGAGTGTATACATTAGTAAGATGTGGAAGAACTTTAGAAACTTCATGGTCACTGCAGCATTTAGCAATTACATGCTGTGCAGCCTGTCTCTGTAACCATAAATACATCTAAAAATCAGTTTTTAGTACATACATTTAGTGTTTTGCTTTAACCAAATCCCAAATGCATAGTTCTGCTATGTGTGTAATCAAGTTTCTGTAAAACAGGACATTACTCATCAAGAGTATTATCTCACATATTTAGATCAATTAGATTACAGAATTGCAGAAAAGGTCCTAAGAAATGAACTCCATGCAATTTATAGTGGGACCCTAGTTAGTTTTCTACAAATCCTTCATACCAGCATACATATCCAACATATCCATGCGTCTGTTAAAGTTCAAATTGGGTAACACAGGAGTTTGGCAGCACTCTAACTTTGGGTGTTTGTACTTCAGCAATAGGTTACCTTGTAACGTTCTGTAATTAGCATTCTCAGAATCAACCCTCCTGCCTAAGTTAATAGCTCATCTTGCACCCAAGCTGCAAAGTGCCAATGCACCACAGCAGACATCCACTGAATGAGAGCATCACACCTGCATTCAGTATGCTACCAGTTCATCTTCTGTATCCATGGACCTCATTCTTTTCTCATCCAAGCGCCTTTAGTCCTTTAATTATTCACAATACATTCAAGTAAACAAAAGGCACAGAAGTGCAAACTAGCATAATAAATGAAAGTCACCGTCAGCTGATGACTTCGTACAGGAAGGAAAGTCTTTGATAAAGGAAGAAGATGATACTTTAAAGTAAACAATCTTCCTTCAGTAAAGGAAGTGTAGAGCAGCACTGTCAGAAAATCAGAAAAGGTGTTATTGAAGTTTACATATTGCAGAATGAAGATTTTCCTCATTTCACACTAAGTAGATACAGTTGCTTCATATCAATAATTAGCAAAAATAAGTAAAACACTTCAACGCCCGTGAGATTTGAACTCCAATGTTAAGATTATTAATTTCAAATTCAAATGCATTAAAATTTAATGCCACTAATAACTGAAGCAATTTTGTTTATGTTACAGTTTTAGCCTCTGATACACTATGAACCCTTGTGCAGATGCCTTAATACTAAACTTCTAGATAGCCCCATATTAATAAAGTTACCAGAGGTAGATGTTTCCCCAGAGTAGACTGGGAAAAAAAAAAAAAAGAGTTCATCTCCTTTCCTGTTTGTTACATCTCTCCCCACAGGGCAGAAGAGCTTCCAAGAATCTGGAAGCACTGTACAGAACTGGTCACATCCTATTGCTTTCTTACAGATTGACTCAGACTGCTGGATCCCTGCTGAGAAGCTCCATTCACCATCCTCCCAACTTTATTAGTTCCCATCTAGTTTTCCTGCAAGGAGTTACATTCCCAAAATAGTCAGGTGGGGAACAGAGCGCCAGGTGGTAAAAAGAAGATCCTAAGAAGGAGAGAGAGAGTGCTAGAAGCCTCTCCCTGCCATTCTCTTAGGAAATTTGCTTGCTTGTGCTTTTGCAGTATCAGGACTTGTCATCTGTATTTTGCTTTATACATACCAGCTCTATAATATTCAAGACACCCAGTCAGTGGTGCACAGGAAGATCAGCATTTACAGTTTAATTCATTAGAATGAATAATTTTAATATCATACTGCTCAAACAAATTCTACTGAAGTCTCATCCTGATTTCAAACTGTTTTTTAAGTACAGGGATTTAAGTCAATCTAAGCTGCTTTAAATGTGTAGGCATGAAGAAAGTCATTTTTCACATCATTTAGACTCATAACAACAAGCTTCACTAGCAGAAATCTTTACAGCTTCTGCTAGGACTGCTTTTTTTACATGGATTATGTAATGTTATTTCCATAGTATTAAGTTTACACTTGATTTCTCTACTATTCACTGAGATTAGCAACTGAATTTGATGATGTCCTAAATATTGCAAACTAAAATGAGAACAGGTCTGAGATACAGAATTGTTAAAAAGTTTCACATTTGGGTTTAAAAATCATAGTGTAATTGAAAGTAAATGAACCTCATGATAAAAGGCAAATTAAAAACAGTATAGATGCGTGACTAACGAGCCAGTGGTTACACACCCACAGCAGGGCAGTCAGCCTCAGAAGGCCCTGTCTGAGGATAAGCTGCTGACCTTACATACTGCTGTTGCTCAATGACTCAGGAACCTCACCAACAAGAGTACCTCTTTCCCAGCCCATCTCCTGCTTATTTTGTTTTCTCATACGCAGAGATACACAGACAGCTCTATCAGAGAAACAGCAGTCCAGAAGAGGTCCAGAAGAGGAATTAACTGACTAAAGCAGCTCCATCGTATATAAGCAGCACTTCAGTTGAACGTGAAACCACAGCACGTTAGATAATCAACCTCAGACACTAATGGAAGTTTGATTCCATAGAACCAATAGTATTTTGCATAAAAAAAACAAACAAAAGTACCGTTAAGAGAAAGCTCACAGCTATCTCTTAGCTATCCTTCACCTTCAATTTAAATTTCAGTCAGTTATCAACTATTCTTTATATTTGTGAAGTATTTACATGGAAGTGCAGAGTCAGTCAACTTACATCATTGTGAATTTCTTACATTTACTATCTCTTCCTCCTTTTAAGCAAATTGCAGTGCACAGTAGATGGAGAGGTATAAAACATTATATATTATGCCAAATCAAAAGTGTACAGCATCCTTGCTCAGTACAGAGTACACCAATGTAACTTCATAGTGTTATTATAGTCCCGTCTTCTTCTAATGACTTATGATCTGGGTTCTGTACTTCGTATTCCATGCTAATGTTGCATGCTGAGTGATTCAAGTTCACCTCACTGGAAGGAAGGAAGCCATTCTGTGTTGGCTCATGGAGCAGGTCAATCTGCGTCAATGATTCCAGGCTGGTAGGTGCAGCTTTAGGAATTTGCTGTGGCTCACCACTATCTTCAATAATGATGTCCTCCTCGTCACTCTCTTCTTCTCCTTGCAAGAAGTTTGCTAAAATATTTGGTGTGCTGCTTGGAAGACTAGATTCAGTAGATTGACCGGAGCTGCCAGAATTCCGACTGTTCCTCACAACATTATTTCTCTGGTTTGCTGGTCTGACTGTAATGATCAGGTTACGGCTGTTTGCAATCATCATGTCTGTAACTTGATCAAGGCTTTTTCCTGAAACTTCTATGCCATTCACCTCCAGTACTTCATCATTGACAGCCAGTAAGCCTGTGCTTTGAGCCAGGCCCCCAGGGACAAGCCTGGATATGAAAATTCCTGGAACTTTTTCTAATCCGTGTGGCGTTACTCTGACACTAGAGCCATCCCGTATATAGAATCCAAGGGGTTTGTCAGTTCCATACTTGTAAAGTCGTACCCTGCGATGGGTTTCTGGAAGAATATCTACGTCTATAATAGAAGACACTGGTCTGAAGTCTTGTGGCATGCTAATGACAATGTGTGGTTTCTTCTTGTGATTATCTGGACGTAACACGTTTGTTAAGACGTTCTTCTTCCTTGTCATAGTATCGGTACCAAAGGCACTGTAGTCTGCATCTTCTGTAAGACATAGCACACTGCTGATTAGGTCACTTTATATGTAGGCCATGTAGCATTGCTTTCATGTTTTAGGTTAGCAGAATGAACAATCTAATCTTGGTTTGCTACAGTAGAAATATTCCTTTCTATACTTGAGACAAGAGCTCTGATGCTACGCAATTTATCAAGGCTTGCAAGGTTACCAAAGGAAAGAACAGTTCAGAAAAATCAAAGCAAGTTAACGGAGCAAAGAGAAAGAACTAGCTGCATGAGAAAGGTTAGAAATGGAAAGGACAAGCACATTCCTAAAAACATCTTAATTTTATTCAGAGTAATTCTATTTGTTAGTTTTCTCTTCTCTAGTTTCACATCGTTGGAAAAGAAAGAATGAAAAAGGGAAAGCAGCCAGAGTACTCATTATTGCCCAGCTCCTGGAAGCAATCCAAGTGACCTGGATTCAAACTCCAGAAACCTTACTGCATTCTGTACTCTTCTCCCCACCCCCATGCAATGTAGGTAAAATGGCTGTGGAACAGAAACAAAGAGACCTTGGACACACATACTTCTAGCAACACTGTATGTACAAGCAATGCTGCAGTTGCCACTGTTTGATAGGAAAGTGCACAAATGACTTGTGTATGTCTTCTTCATAAAAAAAAGAGGAATCTGAGCCATTCAAATATTTCTAATGGAAATAAATGTGTTCTACAGCAGTAACTCTTTGTCCAAAAAAGTGCCCATTTTCCAAAGGAAGTTTCCATTTTAAGTATACTCTAACTCCAAAAATGTTGAACTGAGTTTGAAAGGTTCTTTCAGTCAGCTGTTCTTCAACAGAAAAGACTAAATGAAATTATTAGATCTAGCATCAAGCAAGGAGGCTTTAGAAATAGACGAAGATCTGTTTGTCAGATGTCTAAGAGAGTCAAGTCAGTTTCTGATAAAAGGTGGTTTAATTTAAAAATACTCAAGATAAAAGCCACCTCCCCAAACAAAGCATGTAATAAGTGGACTTTACGGCAAAACACTTCTGCAAATGCAAGCTTAACACTTTGTGTAAAATTTATTTTGAGATATCTGACTGGAGATCAGCCATTAATAATGCTGTACTCCACAGCTGAAAACTAACACACAGTTCTCAGACAACACGAAGCAGTTCTTTTAATCTTTTCATAAAGTTTATCAAAGTATGAGTAGACGCTCTGCTTTTATCTACTGACAAACCAGACCAGTTTCAAGCTAAATACCTGGTCACTACATTGTGAGGATTTCTGTAATTCAATGAGTTGTAATAGTTTCTTTTTCTTTTTTCTTTTTTTTTTTTTAAATTTGGAACTACCCTGCTTACAGAACAATGTGAAATAAATTAGAAGGGCTTTGCTTTAAATGCCTTCACATTTAAATACAGAGTAATCTGTAATGGAAGCAAGGAAGCAATAGCACAGACTTTAATACAAAAAACATAACAGTGACCTGAATATTAGAAATCAGTAAGAATGCTAATGAGTGCAAAGTTTATTTTTTACATCATGAGTTTTCCCTTTCCCTACCAACAGCTGGCATGGAACTCAGTTATCTCTCAAAAAACTTCTGTGCAGTTCATGCCTAAGTGCTACAGATTTTTAATACTCTGGAACTCTGATTTTAAGGCAGCAAAATCAGTGAAAAACACTCAAAGACCAGAGCAATATTGCATGGATAAGACATGCCCATAAGTCACTTTACCTTGTTTCAAAAACTTCCATATTGGTTTGCATTTACAAGACAGGTTTCTGGGCATTTAATACAACATTGCTCCAAAATATATATACACATATACCTTTAGGGGTGGAAGTTCTCCATAAAGCTAGTTACCAAGTTGAATGTATTTTGACTGATTAGTTCCATATTATTCGGACCTTGGGCCATACATTCATGTATTTAGAATAAGCTCTCCTTAAGAAAAAAGATGGAAGAGGAGGATTGTAGACAAAACATTCTGGCCTGCAGTGCAGAATGCTGATGGAAGCAGTAGTACACAGGTACTAACTTACACCAGTACAAGTGAAGCACTGGGTTTCCACTGGGTTTAGTGCAGGAAGTGGTTTGGAAATTGTACACAGGAAAACTGTATCAAAACAGGTAGGTATTCACCTTCTATTCATATGAAGTATTGCAACATTAAGAGTATTCAGTTTTGGGGGATTTCCTCCATGAACCTCAAGTACACAAATTCCGATTCTTGTCAAAGATTCAGATGCAGTATGTAGTAATTCTTACATCTGATATGACAGAACATATGTCATATCTGAGCTCCCAGCTTCCTCCAGCTGGCCAGTAAAACAACTCCAGCTTCACGGAAGGCACACAGCACAGTCCCTCTCCTGCTACAGCCAAGTCTTCTGTGCCTGAATGGTAGACTTGGAATGCACCAGTCATACAAACAGGCATTTCATACAATCCAGAAGAACTGCTGGATCTCACAGATGATCCCACTTAGTTTCTCTGTTCCTTACCCAACAGTTAGCTCTAAAACTAGTCACGCAGCTTCTCACAGCTTTCTTCACTAGCCAGGAACACACAGAAGTAACCATCAGCCAAAGTGGCCTAGCACTTCTGTGCAAACCAAATTTCTCATCCTAGTGAAACATGAAGAGTAGTTGCAGAAGGACTAGCTTTGAAAGAAATACATGAATTCATCAGTGTGGACTAACAGAGACTCAGAAGTGCTTTTTAATCAAACTAACAGAAGATATTTACTGGAATAGATATGACCTTCAGAAGTCTTTTGCAAAATAAATACCGTTAGAATTCTTAACACTGAGCTGGCACGTCTGCTTTTAGAAATATACTGCAAGTCACATGACACTCCAATTGAAGTATACCAAAATTACAAATTACATGTCAGTTACATTACATTTAAGCAGAGGCTTTGATTTTTGTACCACAGCTAGTCTTAAAAGCCTAACAATGCAAAATGAGTACAAACCTTATGAAATACAGTTGAAGTTGCATAATTTGTGGGGGAAAAAACAATGAAAGGTCAATGAAGAAAACTCATCTCTCCATATCTCATCCAAACAGCATGACTGTTTAGAAAGTTTGTTCAGCAGTGGAGAAGTTAAAGCAATACTCCTGAGTACAAAGGCATCTTTGTTCTGGCACCCAGCTAATCAGATTAAAGCTACAGTGAAAGATATTTTGGCATAAAGCCAAAGGACAAGGTATTAACTACAGATAACGTTAAGGAGAATGGCCACATAGCATTGAAGTGATTTGTTTCTTAGCAGTTTCAAACCCAAGGTGGCACCAATCTGTATGTACTTACTGCAGGAAATTTAAAACTGCCTGCAAGTGTCAAATCTGGTTTCAATTCAATATTGTTCAAGACATTCACAATGTTTTCCTGACCTACTGGCAAACCAATGTAATTCACAAAGAGTAATTTAACAATTGCATTGCACAAACACCAAATCATTATATTGGAATAAGAATGCAACTTACTATTTTCAAATAAGTCCCAGTAAATCACCTCTCTTAACTAGGCCCAAATTACAACAAACTCGTATTTTTCTTAGAAAGAGGACACAGACAGAAGGAATCTTCTCCAGAAAGTTGTCTTTAAAAATTTATTTCTCATGGAAAAAGTCCACCTCAAGAAATAGAAGTGAATTAAGAACCTACTTTTTATTCTATAAAGCCATGCACCAGGCATCATGTGTAAAAATAGGAAATTACTATATACAACTATAAGTAATTTTCACAGATGCTAAATTGAAATCATGGTCTGACTTCTTGTTCCTAAGATTAATGTATTCAAAAACAAACCCCCAGTACCAAATTGCCCTTCAGTGTCTGCGGGAACCGCCTCCCCCTCCATGCTTTTATTCACAGTAAGACTTTTCTCAGACAGAGCGACTCCCACACATCTGGATGTAATCATGATACAGCAGTCCAACGTTTAAGTTCCAGATGTCAGCAGTACCTGTTAATCTCTTAAACTCCAAGATGAAATTCCAATAGGCAACTTTTCTACAAACTGACAGCCATAACTTGTGCTATAACAAGTTCTAATTTAGACATAATGCTGAAACAAGTGTTACAGAAGTAGTAGCTGTAGTTAGAAAAACCTGAGAGGATGAATACTTTCATTTCATTAAAGGATATCCAGGTTTCTTACTACATCAGCTAGTAAACATAAGTCTTTTGGATGCATAACTTCCCAGTTCCCATAAATTAAGGATCAAAAGTGAACATTAAACAGAAGCATGCTTACTCTGACATGCGAAAATTCCTTAAGTTAGACGTGCATCATCACCACTTCACTTACTGCTGACATTACAAAAGAATCCTGTTGCCCTCCTTTCAACCACTTACAGCTTTCCTTGGATACAGGGACAGAATTATTTACACCTGATTTTATTGTAGTTCACTCATATCTTACACCAGCTTTCAAAAATAAATCTTCAGACCAGCAAGAGAACATAATAAAGTTTCCTCTTTTAAAACAATACAAACTCCCTCCGCTGTGCTGCCACTCCTCCAAGTCAGCAATAACTTTTTGCTAAAGATCTTAAAATCCCAACTATTATTGTTGGGTAAACACGAAAAGAAAGCTTTGCTTTATAAGAATCTTAAAAAGATTTTTCCAGCAAAATCTTCAGGTGATTCAGCAGAGTTTATGGAAGCCACAATGAACCATACAGGAAGAAAATTAACTTGAATTATTTATCATTAATTATAGTTTTAAAGCAGCCCCATTAATAGCACATATTGGTTCAAACACTCAATTCTCAAATTCACAGATGTACACACAATAAGCTGTGCAGTTAGATGGACTAATGGACTACACACACCTAAGCAGTAAGACGCTGCACAGATCTCAAACTCAAGTAGCTCAGCCTTATTTGTAATAAATTATCAAAAATTATATATAGAATAAATATTTCCTTGCTTTCCACTTGCAGGCCCCTGATCTACACAGCTAAGATGCTAATAGATTCACAGCCTCAACACAATTAGAAGTGATCAAATAACACAATGCATTACAGTGCTGGATTTAGATGCCAATCTAGGTTCCTTATTAGCTAAAACTCCATAGCCAGAAGACTATGCAGTTCCTATTGGCAGAGACTATTTTCTACACAGCTTTTTCTGACAATCAGTTCTTGGCATTACAAACTTAACTAGGTTAATCTTATTTCTGGTTGTGCATTACTATCAATTCTACTCTCAATTCCTTGCACCAGAAACGTAGAAGTAATCCATCATAGTTTCCGAAAGTATGAAGAACAAAGCATTATAGATGTAACACTAGTAACAATTAGCATCAAGTGTTTAACACCAGTAACAATTCAAAAACCATATGGTGTTAAATGTAACCCAATAATCCTGGTCTGACAAAGTGGCTTATCTGTCCTCGTCATATGGCTACTGTAGGAGATTAAATGGAATCATAGACCTTTTCCACATTTACATTCTGTTAACACTCCTTGTGTTCATCTCCTTGGCAATTCAGAAATGAAAGCATACAGGCCTTACTATACTAAACTCCACACAAACAAAACAAATGCATTGTCAGAAACAGCAGCTGGCAAGCAGCCACTGTTTTTGAATATTGTTTTTGTGTCAAATCATTTGTTGTGGACTTTATTACTTTGGAGTGAGAATGTCAATAAAAGCTTCTGGTGCCCAAGTATTTCCTAGAGAAAACAAGCCTGTTGATAAGCAACAACCAGAAACAGCACACATCTTTACAAAATAGCTGAGCAATAAGTGGTGTGTTACTTAAAGAACAATCACTTCATTATCTGTTATTACAGGAATTGCACACTTGTATTCATATATACACCACCCCACCCCACCCCCATATTTAAGTAAGTAGAAAATCAACAAGTTTAGAAGTTAGGTTTTCTCTGTTCTCTGAATTAAAACAATCTCAAGTCTCATCACTAGGACTAGAACTCCACACTCCCCATCCTCCCATCCCCTTAAGATCTTTACACTGATTATGTTCTTCTGGACAAGAACACATACAACTTCAAAACTGAATTCTGCTTCACAAATGAAGGCAAATCCTAGAAAAAGACAACAGAACTTGGACCTAGAACACATGCTATTTTTAAAAGCCGACTGACAAACTAATCAGCATTCACACGTGAAGCTGGCTGATTGAAATCAATGTCATTTTGAAAGCTCCACATTGTTTCATTAGGAAAGTGTTACAGAAGCAGCATATTAAAAGTTAGTCTCTATATTGACACGTGAATACTTTCTTTATGCAGTAGGATTCCTTTCCATCATGTAACAGCTTTTTCCCTTGTCCAATCAAGACAGGAATTTTAAATGAAATACATCCAACATACAGAGCACAACACCCTAGAAATCCTGAGTTCTAAGTTCATTTTCATTGGAATGAAATCAGAAATAAACATTTGCTAAATATTTAACTTGATTTTATCCAACCAAACTGAATACAAGCAAAAAGCATGACATATAAACGGGCTGCCTGAGGAAACTCTCGCAACAGATGTGACTAAATCTGATCATCTATAGCTGTGGAATTCAACACAATGAAATAGGGCATTCACTCCATTTATCATACTGAGTAAACAGTATAACTAGAAAACAACTTATTACCCACATCAAGCACGCTTACCTTTTCTCTGAATGAAAATCCTGAGTAGGGGATTGGCGGTGGAAACCGCTTTATGATAATTGTCATCATTATTTATAGGCAGCAGATCTCCATGAATGTCTGTATATCCCACTAGAACATCAACGTTGGGTATCTTGTGCACATGCTGCAATAATCCATAGAACTCCTCAAACTTCCCAGGTTTGGACCTCTCCAAAGAAAACCGCCGAAATTCTGCTCCAAACTACAACAAAATATATCTTCATTAATATGGAAACCTAACAGACAACTCAAGCACAAAAATGTTCTGAATGTTTTACAATTAAGAGTGCACTAAGAACTACAAACAGCAATAGGGTGACAAACAAGTGCCAGAATAATTGCAGATTCTCAGACACTTATGAGGTAAGCCATGTTCTGGGTAAGGGGGAGAACTGATGTTGGCAGCTCAAAATCAGGAAGGAATATGACCAGCTTCTTATGGCACATGACTTTCTGCAATTTTTCAAACAAGTTTCAGAGTGCTTTAGAATGGTACATACACATTAATATATAGCTATGGTTAACATATGCAAGACAGTACTGCTCATGTTCCTGGTTGTTCTGTACAGAAGTGAAAAGCCACCTTGACCCAATGGACATAAAGAATAGCTGGTGACTTTCAGTACAAACTAAAAGCTTTCATGAGATGCTCTTATATCAATTCTGCTTCTCCCTGGAAGAAGGAAATAAAAGGGAGCAGCCAGCTGCTCCACAAGAGCATTCAGAAAATTTGCCTCTGCCATCAATAAGTGAATCGTGATTGCACAGCCATTTAAAATCTAGCTGTATTCAAGGCTTAAAACAGACAAGGTTGAGAAGATACAAAATCCCCACACATTTAATCACTCGTATCATACTTTTAGGGAAGCATTTGCACTTAGCATGCTCACACAAAAAAATACAAAATAAAGACCTAAGAAACAATCCAGCTCCCTATTCCCCTCAAACATCACTCCTTTAAATCACCTGTAACTTTTTAACAACTAATACTGACAATGCTTACGAGGCAGCTAGTGAAAGACTAAACTGAGCACACATTAAGTAGTAAACGCTTGGTACAGAATGGACAGATAAATTCTGGCAAGCATAACTGGTCAGATTACAGTGTTCTGGGTCTTGTCTGTGCTGGACAGAACAAGGAGTATTAGGTAACAATTCCTCCAAACACTCTGTATCAGGCACTCACAACATGGAAACAAGGATGCTAAAAGGAATGAAGAGATAATAACGACCAGGTTACTAGAAGATTCCAGCTTGGTGGCATTTTTGTCAATTCTGCCACTGATGACAATGAACATCACTTTGAATTATTTCTTTATCTAGCTTAATTTTAAGCAGAAAACAAGGGCACGCAGAATGAAATACTGCCAGGAAGTTCAAGTCTCAGTATCACATACTCTGGTAAGTATTACACACAGCAGGTGGAAAGGTGCAAATTACCAGGCCTCAGAACAACCCTTACCTCACCGCTGATTAAAACAGTTCTGGAGAATAAAGGCTTTAGAATTCTCACATACTAAGGCATGAAAATAAGGAGACAAGGACCCTATTGTTAGCACATTAACACCATGCAGACTCAATAGGCACAGCAGAACAGCCTACACCCTCTAACACCTCATCTTCAAAGTTCTCAAATAATGGAATTCTCTGCAGGCATCCTAGAAACGTTCTGATTTCAGTAATTTTAAGTCAGAAGGGATGATTCATACATGCTTACAAAGCAAACAATAGCCTGCAGGAGGAGCTTCCTGCACGTCAGAAGCAGCATGCTGAAGTGTGATGTCAGAGATGAAACGAGACTCGTGTTCCTGCTGAACCCTGCTTCAGCTATTTCAGGTATGAGCACTACGGAAATTCTCCAAGCCCTCTATCAATCTTCAGTTGTTTGGTTTTGAAAGACAACATAGTTTGAACAATTAAGCAACAACGGGATTTAAAAGAACAGCACCAACAATCTTATTCCCAACTTGAAGCAAACACTGTGCGATTGCAGCAAGGATACAAATGGTCAGATTTTCAAGCATGTGGCGTTAATTTTTTGCTCCCCATGATTTCCACAGTTGTTATTCTCTAACAAAACTTGCCACATGCTCAGTGCTACTATAAAGTTGATACAGAAGAAAACCTACACAAATTCACGGTCTGTTTTAATATCATGTAATGTTCTCATTTGGTATCAAATGCTGCACCACACTCCACTAACAAAAATTGGCAACTTTAATGAAGTACAGAAATGTAAAATCAGAAGACTCATCTGGAAAAACACATCACAAGCAATGGCAACATACAAGGAAATCACCAGATATACCTGCCTAAGTAAGACTTGCTTATGAGGAGCATCTTTATGTCCTGTCTAACACTGCATGCTGCTGCTACACTATTAATCTTCAGTAACAATGACAGAACATAAGACAGATACAGTTGCTGGAGCTTATCAGCGTATCAGATTTCATTCTGTACCCAAAAAAAGAAAAAATAAAATACTATTCCCTGTCATAACGGGCTGTGCAGGCATGGTTTTGCCTGTCAGGGCATGATTATTGACCTGGGCTACCTAAATACAGCACTGTACACTGATGACAAGCCTTCAAAACTTACAGCACTATGCAGGAACACTCCCCTCTACCTCGCACACAGCTTTTCTTTCTTTTTCAGAGCTTCTTCTCTTCATAGAAGGAAGGTGACTCCTCTGCTACATTAAATCTAGATACTTTAAGATATGCATTAGCAACAAGTAGTTCAGCCTCAAAATCTTCCTAATACACTCTTAAGAGAGCCCCAGTTCATGAGAGCTTCTCTGTAGAATGCCAAAGGAGGCATCACACAGCTGATCCCTCAGTGTACTTCTAATCAGGCACAGCACACTACAGGGGAGGTTTGGGCTGAGACAGGAAGTATTGTTTATAAACACATTATTCTGAATGCTTTCAATCCTACAAGGGCATTGAATAAAAAAATACTTCATTGACTACAGTCACATCTATACTTAACTGGCACTTGGAATCATGGCAGCCAAGTATTCCTGAGCATTCTGACTTGGCCCATATGACAGTTAAGTTAAAAACACTTAGAAATAATAATAATTATCATCCATGCAAGTTCCAAAAGCTAACCATATATTTTCTATTAGAAGTTTTAGCACTCGTCACGCTAATGTTTAAAAAAGGGAAAAGAAAAAGATGCCAAGCTCCTGGCTGCCTCACCTACCCTGCAAATGAACGCTTGGCTTGCAGGAAGCAACAGAGCACATGCAGCAAACAGACTGTAGAGTAGCTTAGAAAAAAAGAGAGGCACAAAAGTACCTTTCTTTTTTTAAGCCAATGAAAGAAAACATATTCAAGTAGAGACATGCTTGCAGTTTGCCCATACGATGGAAGAGGATTTTAACACATTTCTTAAGCACCCTGACACCAGTTAAGATTTCACATCGAATGTATATTGAAATTTACAACTGTAAACGCAATTAACTGCAAAAGGACAAGCTAACAAAACACTACGACCGTAAGCCAAATGAAAAGCAAGATCTGTTTCAGAACCCCGAAGCTTTGCCAGCAATTCCACGGCCAACCAGGAGAAAACAGGCAATGGCAGCGGATGCAGAAATGCCCACGGGCCGCACGGAGCCCCGGGGAGCGCGGCGGCGTCGGGCGCTCAGCAAGGCCGGAACGGGGAGAAGCGGCACGACGGGCAGCGAGCGAGGGCTGCGCCAGCGCAGACAGCAGCCGCCAGAGCTGCTCCGCTACGCCGAAAGGGAGGAGCACAGCCGTTAAGTTCACCGTATTCTCTCCCCGGCGTAGGTAAGGAACGTAAGGAACGCGCTTCGGAGCGCAGAAATGAGCAGAGCGCATCTTTCGACTCCGACGGCCCCAGAGCTGCCGCCGCCACCCGTCCCACCGCACACACAGGCCCGGCTCCGCACCGCTCCGAGCCCCGCCCCGCCGGCCTCCAGGCCGCGCCGCCGCCGGCAGGTGCGTGTGAGTCAGCAGCGGCTGCCGCCCCCCGCCGCGCTGCGCCGCGACCGGGAGCTCCCGCAGGGCCGCGCCGCCCGGGCCTCGCACGCACCTTGCTCTTCACCTCCATGGTGCCGAGGCCCCGGCTGCCCGCCGCCCCGCGGTGAGGCCGGTTCATGCCGCCGGAGGCCCGGTGTCTTCGCTCTTCTCTCCGCCCCGGGCGCCCACGGGTAGAAGAGCGGGATCCTCGCGGCCCGAAGCCCGGCCGGCAGACCGCCCCGGCCACCGCGGCCGCTCCGCCAACTGCGGCCGCCGCGACGCCTCCGCCCTCACAAAGCGGGCAGGGGGGGCGGGGCCACGGCGGCTCCTGGCACCTGCCGCCCCGCCAGCCCGGCGGCCGCCCGTGGGAGGGCGGGCTCAGCGCGCGGCTCCGGCACCGCGCCTGCGCCGCCGGGCGGGGCCGCGCACCTGCCGCTCCCGAGCATGCGCGGTGGCCGCAGGCCGGCGGGGCCGCGCACCTGCGGAGTTTCGGCGGGATTCCAAGATGGAGGGCGGCGCCCCGCTGAGGGGGAGGAGGCGGGGGCGGAGGCGGCGGACGGAGCGTAGCGCTATGAGGAAGTACGGCGGGTTTTTTCTGTTACCGGCAGCTGCCTTGGCAACCTTTGCTCTGGAGCGGGCGGGTCTGACGTGCGAGCACGGCGCTGCGGCGGACGGAGCCCGGCTCTGTGCCTGCCCTGCCGGGCTGCGCGCCTCACGGGCCGGGCGGTCAGCCGGGGCGCGGCGTGCGGCCGGGTGCGAGGTGTCGTGTCGGGCTGCAGGCTCCAGCTCTTCCTCTCTGGATGCTCTCGCAAAGTCCATCCTGTCTGTGGCGTTGTTGGTGGACTCTTCTGTTTTAAGCACCTTTAATAATCCGGTAACGCGTCTGAAGGCTTTTCTGTGACCTTTTTATTGGCGTTATGCTGAGACAGGACAGCTGCTTTCGTGTGGATGTCGCGCAGTGACCTTGGCACAGGTGTCGGCAGGCCTTAACGGGGCACCGTGATGCGCTTTAAAACCTGAAGGAAAAGGACTTTTCGTTGAGGGAGTTCTATGTGTGTAGGCAGAAAGAAAGCGTGTGGGCCGACGTGTTTGAGTCCACAGCCCCTTGAAACGCGTCTCCTCCTGCCGTGCGGGCTGACAGAGGACACGTCGGTCTGTGCCGTCCCGAGGAGCCTCGCAGCCCCGTGCGGCGAGGCGCTGAGAGCCCAGCCGGGCTTTCAGCCTCAGCCGGGAATCCGTGTGTAGAAATCCCTCCTGAATGGCGTTTAAGGCAGTGCCGTTTTGTGCAGTTGATGTTACTGCTGTCATGCCAAAGGCAAAGGAATTGCAGCTATCTCTCAAGCCAAGACAAGCTGTAATTAGTACAGAGGATATTGCTAAGTCTAGTTTGCTGTCAGACCGCCTGTAGGCTAATTCGCATCTTCCCATCCTCTATCCAGTGTGCTTTGTTTCTGTGCTGTGTGCAGATTCCAGTCTGTACATTTAGGTAAAATCTGTGATCTTGTTGTAAGTAGAAGACAGTGGGTTACAGCTGTGTGAGCAAGACCTGGATAAAACCTTTCACATTGTCACATTGTAATTACAAAATTGGAAAATGTTTGGACTACTCTCCATTTTTGTTTTCTATTTAGGAAAACTTTAGGAAAGAACACCTTTTCGAGTTTTTGAAAGCAGCTGATTTGCCATTTTCCTTGGAAGAAGAACTTCCTGAAGATGATTTGTGCATATAGCTAATTTTATTGCTACAAATTTATGGAGTATCACCTAAGATCATGTTCTTTTTTCTATCTTGCATTCCTAGAATGGTTGGAGTTCCATGCAGTGGGTGTGGTAGCATACTTGAGGAGTCAGGGCAAATTCATTTCGAGTCTCTGGAACTGACCTAATAAAAAGTATTAATCACTGGTGTGCTTTCATCACTAGGAGCTGACGTATGAGAAAGGAATGCAGTAAACAGCTTGATTTCAGATAAAGATGCTGTGGGAGGCCAGGAGTAGCACAAGTTTACAGAGCTATTTTAGTCACAGATTCTACAAAACCTGTGACTTGATCGAGACTATTCACGGCACGTTCAGTTTCAGCTTCTGTGAAGCTGAAAGACAGGTTGGGTTTGGTAATCTCTGGATCACTGGGAACGTTTTGGGAGGACTTTTGTTCTGTTTCTTTTCATTGGAAAATGAGATCAGAAAGTCCACCATGGAGTACAGTGAGATTCTACTGTAATGCTTCTTTCTTATCTGAAGATTTTCCACTTCTAAGTGGAATGGTATTCCAGGCAGCTCTCTCTGGAGATGGAAGATTGCTTCCAAGAATAAAGAACAGAAAATATCTGCCAAATATCTGCCAATACGTATTGACTGCTACTGATGACCTGTGTCATCTTTTATTGTATAACTTGAAGATTATGCAGTTTTTACATTTAACTAAAACTATTCTTTACTTGCATAAATCAGTGCTAGCTCAAATGTGATCATCGGTTGGTGGGAGTAATTTGTTATTTTTACCATGGGAAGAGAAAAATGAAAAAGTAAAATAAAACTTTATTTTAAAATATTATATATATAAAAAAAGGATAATAAGGAAAGAAGGATAGTAAGGAACATCGTACCACAGATTCTGCCTCTTTCTTTTTACACACAGAGTTTGTTCTTACAGATTGCTTCTCCTTTTCTGGCCAGATCTGATGTACTTTCTGCACAGGTATCCATTACTAGTGACCACTTCAAGTACAGTTTTTGCTCAGTAAATACTTACGTTGTTAGCTGAAGAACTAATGCTATTTCACCTGCTGAGGATAGATGGGATAGACAACGAGAGTTCTGATTCAGCCTCAGTCATCTTTCTTTCTTTTCTTAATGAAAAATCTGACTTGAAACTTTGATATCAGACTTTTAATAGAGGATCTGTTGCAAATAATTCTGTAAGTATGCCATTCGCAGTATATGGTCTGTAGAGTATTTCTGTGACTTTCCTTGGTTGGGGCTTTAGTTGTGAAAAAGTCTGACATTTTTTGAAAACACTTTCTTAGCAAGCCATGAGTTAAATTGATTTGTTCTCCCTGAGGTTTCTAACTAAAATGATTACAGAATTTTAAAGCCCTCATTCATCTCGCAATCCATTTCTACTTAATGACTCTGTGTTCCTTGAAAATTCTTCATTATTTAAACACATTAGCACTAATCAGCTGACATCTAACACTTACATGTGTGTATGTAGCAACCTAAAGGCCAAGTGGTTCAAAAGGAATCGTGCTGGCGCTGGTTCTGCATAGCCCATTAGGTAACACCATTAGATAACTACCTTAAAAAAAGGTATTTTTTGAGCAGCACTTATTTACCTTTCCAGTGCTTATTGAGTATTCCTGATGAAAAATAAGGAAAAAATATGATGGATCAAAGGAAATTGCTTGGAAATTTCTTTTAAATTTCACATTGGTAGATTTTGGAATTTTAGTTTTGTCTTGTTCTTAAAGAGAGAATTAGATAAAGAGCTCTGCTTAATAAACTTTTTGGAACAGAGACTTAACTTTTGTGTTTTTCTTAGGAGATTCTTACTGCTGTTTGTGGATCCTCTGCCTGTAGCTGTGGCCTGGAATAAATGACGCTGTCAGTGCAATCTGTGAAACTGTAGGAACATAACTTTTTGCTACAAAGGAATGGTTTTATACAGAAAGGCCTGCAATAGCTGTTAAAATTGCTTGGCACTACCCACAGTGTGCTTAGTAGAGCAAGTTATTAGGCTTTTCTGCTGTTGAAATCAATTTCTTACCAAACAAGGAGAATATCTGAGTTACCTGATGGCTCCTGATATTTCCATCTTTTGTCTGCTGAGCCCCTGTTGCTGAATGTCTTCTTTTGGAGCTGGGCTAGAGAGCGCGGCTTCGTGTCCTCACATCCTGCAGGGTTTGCTGCTCAGCACTCTGCGCTGCTGGTCTGGGTGCTGTTCTGTCTTCAGTCGGTAATAAATCCCGTTTGTAGGGAAGTCCCTTCCTGGTGCTGTCCCAGATGCTCTTTTAGGTTCATGGAATTTTAGAATCATCTGAGTTGAAAAGGACCCTTGAAGGCCATGTAGTGCAACTCCCCTGCAGTGAGCAGGGACACTACAGCTCGATCAGGTTGTTCAGTGTGGTCCAGCCTGGCCTCGAGGGTCTCTGGGGATGGGGCACCATCACCACCTCCCTGTGCAGCCTCTTTCAGGATCCCGGCATGGAGCTCTTCCTGAGCTTCCGGCTCTTCTGGCTGCTTTCTGATCCGCTCAGGACGAGTGTGCGCCCTCTGGGTGGATCCAGGGCCAAATCAAAGGGCTTTGGCAGAGATGGTTGAAGAACTGAAGGCAGGATCTGTAATCTTTCCGCTGCTTGTCTGATTGTGAGAAAATATATTAATTTTGCAAATGATATCTGCAGCCAATCTCAAGAAAGAATGACAGCACTTTATAAAACAGTTCATTATCGTTTATTATGATTGAATTATTAGTTAACGACTGAGTCATGCAGGGCTGCTCGGAGGGCGCGGGCTGTGCCGGCGATGCCCAGCAGGGGGCGCGCTGTCGCTCTGTGGTGCTGTCGCGCGCCGCGCTGCTCCGTGGTTCTCACGTTTACTCCCGGTGCGTTACGTATCCCGGTGCGTTATGTACGCTCGTAGCCTTGCGCGTGTTGGTAATTTGCACGGCTGACCTTGTAATGTTCGTAGATTTATTGCTGAAATCATAAACTGAGATTAGCAACATTTGGGGAAAATATAAAACAATTGTGTTTAGACGACTCAGTGTACTGTTGGCTCGCTCTCCTGAGCTTACTTTTTGCATGCACACATGGATGAGTCAAACCCACCGTGAACCTACAGAGCTACCCAGGCAGACATTTATACAGTAATAGTATAGAACCATCACTGTTTATTAACCGAATAGAACTGATGCAGTGATAATAGGTGAAAACAGAAAAGAGCAAGCCAATGGGAGGAAAAGCAGTTCAGTTCTTCCATGTATGTCACATCTGGAAATACTGAAGCTGTGGGCGTTCAGCCTCTGCCCACTGTTGCTTCAGAACTCTGCTCTGTCAGCTACTTGGGCATTCCCTCCCAGTCTGTAACACCATGAGCTAAAATATTCCAGTGCAGGCAGAGAGATGCACAAAGAAGCAGAAATATTGTGCTCAGAACTCTGGAGGCATATAATTACAGATTAGTTTTACTATAGCACACCCAGAGGGGATTTAAGTAAATATCCTTCATACGGGGATGATGTCTAAAGTTTGTTGCGTTATAGTAGCAAAAGTGCATAG